GTTTTTTCAAAACCGACGTATAAACTTTTTAAACAAAGGACCTTCCAGAAGCTTTCCTTCACACCTCTTTTTTCTCTTACGGTCTCTCTCTCACAAGACGTACTGTACAATATCTTGCGGCTATAGCGCGCTTATCGCGAGTTAAAATTAACTCCAACCAAACACCTCCTGCTCCTCTGCCGTCAACTCGCCTACCTGTTGTCTGGTGCGGTACAATCTCACTGTCCATATCTATATTTCTCTCGGCATATGGTGCGAATAAACCGTTTCCGCCGCCGCGGATTGTGTACAAGGAAAGAGCAGGACGGCGCGTGGAAAAGTGGAGGGTGGAGAAGCAGGCTGCAGTGTTGGAGCGGAGCAGAGTTTCCTGTGAGAAATCCTACAGCGAGGGAAAATCTCAGGGAGGCGGAAGTGAAAAAAGCAGCGGTTGCTGTTTGGAAGACAGAAGGGCTGGGCTGGCTATTTACCCAACGGGGCAATCAAAATGAGACGCCTCCATTTTAAAAATGCTGTCCTTTTTGTACCAGTAAATTACCCTTGGTACAGCGTGTTTGGCAGAAGGAGCACCCTTACTCGACACGGCAATGGAATAAGGAAGGGCAGCGCTATAAAAGTAAACAGTGGTGTCGTTCTGTACGGGTAGTCTGGTGGCTGAATCGAGATTCTTTCCGAGTGTAAAGCATACCCTTGAGTACGAGACAAATATGGCACGGTGTTTACGTCATACAGGAACCTCAACCATAGACGGAATACTGTACCCGGGTAGTGTACAGTGCTGAAGTGCTGTGTTCGGGCCAGAGTGTTCTGAAAATTGTGAGAGAGCGAGCGACTTTGAGCGACTGTGTGTATCTACTGTACAGGGCTGTGGGCACTTTGGACAATGTTGTACGTTTGCAGAGGGGGGAAAGATATTACTGTACAAAACAGGGGTGCTGTTTGGAGGTGTGGACGTAGAATAGGTTTAAAAAGTGGGATGCAAACAAAGGCAGGAACAGACAGCAAATGTGAGAAGTTGTGGAGAGTAAGGGCTCGTAGCAATGAAAGATATGGGAAGGCGGTGCACCTAGGATAACCGTAAGATGAGTAAATGGTGTGACGTGCTGCATGAGGGTCGACATCGACATGTTGGTTTTTGAGGATAGGTAGCAGAGGTCAATTAGGGAGGCAGTTTGAGGGTGCCTGACAGCAAACAAGGTACTGTAGTGCGACACACTCTGGCTGGAGATGTTTATGTAGTTTGTTGTGATCTGGGGCTACAGTGAGGACCGTACGACAATACGAATATCTTCTATCTGTTACGGTACAGTAGTTTGGTTATGGTCACAGACGATACCCATGTCGCATGTCGATACAGTATGTGATGATAGCGATCCTGTGCATTGCCTCAATGATGGATCAGGTTGGGAAGGATATTGTACAGTATGAAATGCGGAGGAAAACGGAGGCGGAGGGTGCGGCGTACACACAATGCGTAGATTGATGATCTCCTTCGCCATTTATAATGGCATTGGAAGGCGATTGCAAAGAGAGAATTGGGGGTGAAAGTAGGTTGTGGTGCCGTTCTCCGGGCACCTTGCATGGCTGTGGCAGTTGGTGGCGGCGGAATAAGGGTAATAATGATTATCATTATTTACCCTTACATGGTTTGCAGGTATACGTACATTAGTATATGTTGTACCCGGTTTCTAGTTAGAGGTTAAGGGCCCGTTTCCGATGTGAATGACCCCTCCATGGAGGGCGTGGATCGGGCCAAAGTGGGATTATAGGAGGCGAACCTGACGCAAGGCGGCGGAACGCTGTGGATGTGCCAAGTGGAAGTCGGGGTGGGGTGTAGGATTGGCGCCGCAACGTGCATCACGCAAAAAAAGCGGCGGCGGAGGACAAGAGTCTGGCGCCACCTCAGTCAACCTGCGGGAGGGAGGACTGATTTGAGCCTTTCAAAAGGCTTTCAAAGGTCTTTTTTGCAAAACGCCTCCATCGAAACTTGTTCTGCACTCTCATTGGGCGTAGTGGTGAAGGGGCGACACACAGAGGAGAGGGGCGGGAGAAAACGGGCCACCGGCCCCGCTTCTTCAGTTCAAACTTGTGTACTGTACAGGCACTGTACACAAGTTTGTACATTGGCGCACGACGGGGCGCCGGGTGTTGGGCACTGTTCCACTGAGAACGTGCTCTGCTAAGACCGGCCCTCACTGAATGCCCGCACTGAACGCCCGCAGGGAATTTCCACTCCCTCGTGCCGTACGCCCGCACCCGCCAATGGCGTTGCGACAACTGGAGCAGAGGGGGACAGGGCCCCCTTCTGATACCGAACACGTGTAAGCAACAACTCTATGTGCCTATGCATGAACTGCCTCTATGATGCCCGGTGATAGAAGATGATAACAAACAACTGCACTGCAGCTGAAGGTACCGTACGCGCAGCGTCGTGTGATCATCGAGGACAACTGTAAAACTTCCTCCGTGCACACGGTGCACACTCCCCCCCGGTCAGGTTCCACAATTCTCTCCCTCACAAGATCTCAAATTCCTTCTCCAACCCCAACCCCTTCTCCTTCACCAACCCTCGATTGGCCCCCAATCCCCTTACTTCGACCAACATATCAAGTTTACTCAACTACCCATGCACAACTTACATCCCACAGTACAGCACTGTATTGTACTCGCACATAGAAACTAGTCTATATTCCAGTATGCTACCCGTTTGCAATACCTTCACGGCTGAATTATTTTCTCCACGCAACCTAGACACGATCTCCCCAGATGCAGCCGCTACAAGACTTTCCCCTACACACTCCCTCCCCCCTAGATACCCCGCGCCCACGGCCCACACCCCACGCCCAAAATCATCAACCTCTTCTATCACGACCTGCCGAAGACAAGTCCCTATCAGAACAATCAGATACGTATCGAGGTACAGTACGGAAGCACGTGCTTCCCAGTTTGGTCTCAAATCATCAGCCCATTAATGTCTCAGTTTGGGAGGAGATCAGCCCTGGCTTTCCCGTGAGGTTCGACAAAATACCTTCGCCACGTCTAGACGATACGGATTGTATGGACGAATACCTTCTCGAATCAAAGTGCCAACAGTACCATGCACTCACTAATATACCAACATGCCGCTCCCCGTCTTCCCTCTGCAACGTCCTGCTTTACACTTCTTGTACGTCTCATCCTACAATATTCGTGCGAAAAACACACCGCGAATAATCCTACCCTACCAGTAGACGTCGTACAGCTTGCGCGAGAAGGGCAAAAATATTTTCTGTTCACAGCGGCCCGCCATGTATAAACCAATTCGCTTCATCCCATCATCAACAACATGGAATCATCACTTATGAGTTTGGAGGCTCAATGCACTCATCGCTACTGTATCTACACACCTCGATCCTTGGCCCAACAACAAGCGCACCAGCGCCCTCACACCTTTGTCTTCAAATTCATCTGAGTACAGCCCATGGCTATGTCATCACTTTGAACATTCCTTTCCTGAAACGGCACCTATTCTTGGTGCCTAGAGCACGAAGCTCGGGGATGACAAACTGCTCGATCGTTTGTTCAACAGTTTTGTAAGGATACCCTATTCAAAAGCCTATCGAACTGATTTCGCAGCCCGCAATTACACCCAGCAAGCAATTGTACTGTATGTCGAAGTGTCAATGCGCACCATTGGTGAGCTTTGTTTTCGGAAACAAACATTAGAAATGCTCGTCCAACATAGCATGCTGAGTTGCTCTTGACTTTGCAAAAGCATGTAAACATTTACTGCATGTAAACATGTACTGTACGTGTTACCAGCCAGGCGCCTGGATGTTTCTTTAGTCAACAGGGCAGGGGTTGGACATGGGCGTACGCTGTCGAATACGCCGATTTCATGTACAACCCAGTGTCAGATCTTTTAACGCTAGTGAAAAAACGCCGGCATAGTTGGGGGGACAGTCGCGCGGCTCGGCAATGTTTATATTTTGTGTTCTACAACAAACGTCGGGGAGAGCATATGGAAGACGGGGAAGGTACAGCCGGAGATAGCGTGTCTGCAAAGATTCCTGAGAAGGGATGAGATGCGGGCGACTTTTATAATACTGGCAGTATTGTATTTCAAATACGGCTTTATTATACGACGAACTCGAGATTCTGTTCTGTACTATGTACCTGTTGAAAATATCAAACCTAGCGAGGGTACATTTTGTAGATAGCGGGGGGGGGTCTGTAATTACGTGTGGGAAGAACGGGCCGGAATCAAGAGATGATGGACAAGACAGATGGAGAGTTGGGCATTTTCCGCACGAACATTGTTCTCATCTTCTTGGGAAGGTTATGGAATGCGGGGAGGATAATGTCCGACGGTGGACGCGGGCCGTGTCTGGACAAGGCGGGCAGAGGGGTCTTAGCTCTGTTGTAAATAAAGATGTAAGGTATATGATAAGGTACACATTAAGTTAAACAAACGGCATACACCGGCATATACCGATGGTGCCGCGGGCAGAGGGGGAAGGTGCTTTGTTGTGTATACGGGAGGCGGGTTTGTTGGGAGGGGGTGGGGGGATGGGGTTGCTGCAGGGTACACGGGGGGGTGCGATTGAGGGGGAAGGGCGTCAGAGGGGGCGTGTGCAAGGGGGGTAAAGAGATGACTCGCGGTAGCGGCGGGGGTGCGAAAAGAGATAGGGGGAAAATCAGAGATGAGATTGCGTGCGGCGTGGAAGAGTGAAAAATGGAAAAGTTTTGGGGGGGCGACTGAGCGTGTTGGCGGGGTCGTTTCTGGCGTGGTTGTACCCATTGTAAGCGAATTGGCGCGGTGCCATTGGGCGGCGGCGCGCCTCATGCAAAGGAAGCGCGCATATCCCACGCCTGCTACTAACTCCTATCCACTGCCCTTCTCCCCGTGCGCAACCCCTTTCCTCAATACGTTAACCACACCTCACCTCCCCACCGAGTAACTCCACAACTTCCTCTTAACCACTCCCTCACCCTCTACCGGGCCCCAACCTCCCTCGCTTCCCCCCCCACCCCGCTTACCAGGCCCTCCCCCTCCCCTCCATCCCCCCCCCTTCATTACCGTTATCTCCCTGCCTCCTGGCCCCCCCACCGTCCCCTCCTATTTTCGTCTCGCCGTCCCCCCTAATCACATCCCGACCTTTATAAACCTCCCGCCCATCCCCCTCCCCGTGCCCGCGCTCCCCTCTCCGTACCTGCACCTATCCTCCTCCTTTATCGCTTCATCTCCCCTCTTCCCACTCCATCCACACAGCTACTTTGCTCTCACCAACCCTGTGATCGCTCTAACGTCGGGGAGTTCCTCCCTTATTGGGAAGTTCTCCTCGACCCATTCCCAAATATCCCCACCGCGTGCATGATCCTACGATGGCTCCCATTACTGCCATTCTAGGAATCGTCTCCAACGAACCAGCACTATGTCGCTGGCTCCACAGCCACGATCCCGACCGCGACATCAGCACAGACCTCCTCAGATCTTCAGCGACCTACATATCCAAGTCCCCCTCCCCTCACGCCTTTGCAGCCACGGGCTCCCCAGTCGCCCCCACTGCTTCCCTTATTGTACCCATGTACGCACGCAAGCACTTTGTCCTCGGCCAGCTCTACGGCCCAAGGCCCTCCACCACCGCCGACGGTACCGATAGGCTCTCCTCTCCAGGCTATTCCCCACCGCCGCGAACCATCTGTCGTCGCTTCGTCGTCGACCTCTCGTTTCCAGATGCCCTCGCCTTTCTGGAGTACGAATGGCTTGACGACGGCAAGCTTTGCGTTTCCATGCATAACATCACCCAGGATGGCCACTATGAAGCAGAGTCTCTCATACTCGCCTATGCCGACCGCGACCACAAAGGCGTGTTCCTCTCCCAGGACAACCTGCTCAGCAAGCATCGCCCGGAACACCCCAAGAAGGTCATCATGAAGATTCGCACTCACGAAATTTCGAGTTGCTCCATGTGCGAACCAGAGGGCATAGTCAAGTGCCAATGCGAGCCGTCTACGTATTCGTCTCCCCACAATCCCAAAAGGTTTGAGCTGCCTCACAACTGGGAAACATGGCTGGCAGCCTTCACGAAGTCGCGCACAGGACCAGCCAAGATGAAGGTTTCATACAAGATTATCTCCGAGCAAGGCAACCGCGAGGGCACGGGAAAGTTCGCCTTGGAACAGAATTGTGAGCTCGGCGTTGAGGCTAGGTCTCCTATCGGTAGCGAGCTTTTCAAGATGTTCTTCGAGTCTACGGATATGATTCTTTCAAGTCCACGCACTGACGATACTGTCCGTTCGGCGGAAGAAAGACGCGACCGCAGGATCCTTGGCATAATCGAATCCGAGGATGAAGATTGGACTGCAACAAACAGTGCTGGCATCGTGGACGTGAAGGAGGAGAATATGGTCGAGCACCACTCCGAAGATTTCACTATAGAGGAGCAACCTGTCGATTGTGTAGAGAAACCAATTTTGTGTGATCCCGATCTCGATCCTCGAGTTCAGACGACCGCATCGACAACGACAAAACGCCGTCTCATCACTGTACGAGCCAGCGGTGGCCGAACAAATCACTCGTGGACTACTTGTGTTGGGACAGAGGCCACGTCCGACGCGCACTCAACAGCAATGAGTCGCGGCGCGCCAAACGTGATAAGTCATGGCGTATCGGACATCATCGGTCAGAGCTCCGATGCGATGACTCATAGCGTATCCAATGTCATCAGTCAAAGCGTATCGAACATAATGAGTCATGGCATTTCAAACGTCACCATGAGTCATGGCGTTCGAAACGTCGAAGGACAACGGCATATTCAGAAGAATACTAACACAACAAAACGGAAAGGGAAGCAGAAACAAAAGCTCTTTATTTGCGATTGCGGCAGGACTTTTCGGCACAAAGGCCACTACAACGAGCATCGCCTCTGTGTGCATGAAAAAGTTCGGCAGCATAAGTGCAGTTTTCCGAACTGTGAAAGGTATGTTCATCGAATTAGTTTTCCGTGCGCCGCTATGTATCCGTATTGCAATAGCTTTGATGAGTGTGATGAGTCTAACATTTCCTTAATAATGTCCTTTCGACGTTTGATTTATTGCAGCCGGTTCTTCAAAAAGTCTGACAGAGATCGACACATGCGTTCGAAACATGATTCGACTTTTGCTATAACATGACGAAAAACATGACGGTGGTCCGCATGTGCGTGACGTACTTGAGATCCTTTTTCGATATTTGGATATAGAGTCCGGCAAGCACATGTGCACGGCAACGCAATGTGAATTGTCCGTCTTGCAAGTGCTCAATGATCTTGCAAGTGCTCAATGATCTTGCAAGCGACATCAACCAGACCTTTTTTGCCTCTAACCCTACCTGCAAAGGAATATATTGTAAACGAGTAACTTGCAATCTCATCTTTCTCGGAAACCTATGTTATCGCTCCCCCACCTGCGAAGCCGAACAGCGTTTCGGTGTTCGCTTGGGTCCCACCTCGGCTTCATGTGACTTCTTCCGGGAGACCCAGTGAGATCAAGGGATCTTCTTCTTCAATTTCCCCCTGTAGCTTCAACATAATACCAATGGCTTTGTGCTCGTCTTGCTCGACGCCCTTGCCTCTCGCTAAGCAACGGGCTTTTGCGACCTGCGCCCTGCAGCAGGCCTCAAACTCAGCAGTTCCCTCAACCACGCCGGATGTAAGATCTGCAGCGCAACAGTAGCATGCGAACGCCTTTTCATCTTGCCCGAGCTCTTCGTAAAGCAAGCCCAGGTTGTATTCTGCCTTTGGATATGCACCGTCCTTGAGATGTAGGTATGAATCCATTTCGGCTCTAAGCAGTTCCCGCTTTTCGTCCTCACTTACAGCATAGCGCCGAAGTGCTGCCATGAGAAGCCCGTAATTCTCGTGCAACATTTCTCGCTCTGGTATGACTCCGTAGTGATATCCTGTGTCGCAGTTGTAAGCAACCATTGCTTTAGTGTACTTCCGTTTCGCAAAGTCTAGACTTTTGTGAGCTTCTACACTGTCAACATCTTCTTCCCTGACTCGTCGCTGTGCGATGTTTCCTCTTAGCTGATACACATTCGCACTCTGTTCCGTTTCCTCCCTTTGCTTTCGGACCTTAAGTGCAGTCTTCGCGTACTGTTCTGCAGTTTCAAAATCCTTTACCTTCGCAGCAATGATGGCCATGTGGTGGTAAGCGCTCGCCACTGCACGAACGTCTTTTTGCTCTTCGTAGAGCTGGCGGGCGTCTTCGTGGTACTGCATGGCCCGAGGAAAGTTCCGTTGTTCGGCGGCAAGCAAGCCCATGTTGTGTAGAGTGCGGGATCGGCCGAGCCGATCACTGAGCCTCAACGCTTCTTCATAGTGTCTTTCAGCTTTCGAAAATTCGCGTTTGTTCATTGCAACCCATCCTAATTCATGATGGGTGACTGCAAGTTCGCGACTGTTATTGCATTCTTTCCATATTCTGATGGTTCGGTTGAACCATTCCTCAGCCTCGTTGAGTTTGTGCAGACGGTTATGGCCCAGCAACATCCCGTATATGTGGTACGACCGTGGGATGTCCATGCTATATACTTTGTTTGAGACAGGGATATCAGCAAGTCTGTCATAGACGCCGACCTTTTCAATGATTCTTCGGCACAGAGCGTATCTCTGTGTGATATCGTTCTTCGCCGCCAAGTACCAATACATGGGCAGGAGAACGCCATAGAAAGCTTGTTTCTCTTCCAAGGCATACCTCAAGACTCTCTTTAGATTCCAGAATTCTATTTCTGTCATGACGCGACCAAAGTCATGCATAACTTTGTTGGAATCGCGGAGCAGGTCGTAAAGCTGTAACGACAATTTCCAGTAGGCCACATGCATGGGCTTCAGCATCGGATGCAAAACTTTGTCCTTGTCGGCATCTTCCAAGACTGCGTATCCCTTACTAGACGTTAACTCATTCAATGTACCTCGTGAAGTACACGCACGTTTGTGGCACAGCTTCCTCATCAACAAGACGGAAAGGCATGCGTGGATTCTCCAGGCCTCTTGGCCTCCATGCGAGCTCATACGCTCGTGATGAGTCAGCAAGCCCCATCTCACGGCCATCTTGATAGCAGAGTCCCATGCGTTCCTGTCAAACTTCGTTAAACTGTCATCGTTCTGTTCAAGTGCATGGGCATAATGGGTGAGGCCTTGGGCTGAAACCGAGCCTTTGAAAGGAGCTAGAAAAAGGAGAGCTTCCTGCTGGGGAGCCGACAGCAAGTTGAATGAGTATTCTAGACTCTCCATCACACTCATTGAGTCTGAGGGGTTGGTCAAGTGCTTTGGAAGGCTTTCAAACAAATCCTCCGGATGAGGGGCATTTGACATGTCCCCGGCCTTGAAAGTTCCTACAATAAGCTTGATCACCAAAGGGTTACCAGCGTAAAGGTCAAGCATTGGATAACTGTAAAGGGCTTTATACTTGGGGTCGGAGCTGTCACCGCTCTCGTCTAAGAGCTGCTTAACCAAAACTTCGGCCCATTTCTTAGACAAGCTTCCGATGAGGCGGCTCGGATACTTACCCACGATTGTAGCAAGGTCCAAGTTATTTGACCTGTTTTTGATGTACTTCATCAGGTCACTCTCCGAACTTCCTCGAAACCCAACAAGGACCTTTGTCTTTCCTCCTTGCAACTCGGCCAGCCATTCTGCAATTTGTTCTCGGTCGTGAGATCCATGGTTTACTCTTGATTTAAATCTACCGTCCTCAGAGTCACTTTCGAATTCACTTTCGTATTGTGAAGGTATCGATTCAAAGCGCTCAGACACAGATCTGCCCGTTCCTTCACGTGTGCACAGCCTCTCGGCGCCATCAATCACAATGACATAACAATTTTCCCGCAAGTGATTCGTTACGCGACGACGGTCATCTGCCCGTTGTAACTCACTTTGATCAGTTGGGTCATATCCAGAGACGTTAAAAAGCTGCCGGTAAATGTGCCATATCATATGGTTTAGAGAAAACGACTTCTCATGCATGCGAAACACAAATTTGTCTCTTACAAGTCCAGTGACACTCCACCACCAAGACACGTACGTGACAAACGCAGTCTTCCCGCACCCCATCATTCCATACAAGAGAATAATGTTATCTGCTCTCTCCTGAGAAAAAACCTTCCCTTCTAAGCCATGGAGATCATCATTCCGACCTAAAAAAGTCGTTTCGTCGACTGGTTCGTTGATCAGGAGGTTCTTCCGTTTGACGTTAAGTTCACTGTCCTCCCAGATAAGGGATTTATCTTCTGGAGACTCAACGAGAAGGGCAGCATCCTCCCACTTGCACCGTCTAAATAGTCCAGTCTCTGAACGGTTGGGAAGCTTTCTCTCGTAGAGCTGCGGAATCCACCAGTCTTGCCTTTCAATTGGTCCCATAACACCATTTCGGCGAGGGTCCTCATGCATGGCCAGACGTGCTCGCGTAGTGGCAACGCGAACGGAATTCATCTGGGATGGGGCTAAAATGGCTCGATAGAATTCCCGGACGAATCGGGCGGTTGTATCTACGAGAACCGACAAGGCCATGGCCAAAACGCACTGCACATTGCTCCTTGAGAAGAGCTCGTACGCGAAGCTAGGGCTGCCGGGGTTGCTCATGCCTGACCGGCAGGCACTCGTGATAACAATAGGGATCTTGAATTCGTCGACAACATGGGCTATTTCATCACCGGAGACGGTGGTGAAGCCGAAGCGCTCGCACTCGAACATGAGGCGATTATTGGCAATACCATTTGGTGAATGGAAGGAGTCATCGCTAGTTGTGCCATGACAATCCAAGTGGAGTATGTGGTAAAAGCCTGGCTTAACCAGCTTGAGCTTTTCCCATAAGGCGGTGACGGTGCCAGGACGGACGAGGTCGAGACGCAAAGGAAGGTCGTGATTTCTGACGCTGTCCATGACGGCGAGACTCTCAATGCGCAATGGGATATCCTTTTCGTCTGTGCGACTCCTCGCGGTGAGGAACAAGACGTTCAAGGTGGGATACGAGTTGATGGGATGCGGGATGATGTGATGCGGGCTTCGATGCTGGACATCACGGACAAGACAGCGGGTGGGGTCCAAGACAACAGCGCCATTCGATGGCTCGTGGAGCTTGGCGGGGTCTCGGAGTAGCTCCCAATGCAAAGAACAAAAGCGTGCGCTACCGACAACGCGGATAGAGACAAAATGGTCATCAGGGAGGGTGGTCTCCGGGGTGCCGAAGACCATGGTGAACAAGGTGGTGCCATAGTTTTGGAGGAGCTTGTCAATGGTATTGAGACGACCAGTTATAGGAAAAATTTCTCGGTCTGCAGCCTCGCAGTACCAGTTAACTTTGGCTTCATGCCCTGCCGAGACAAAAGGGGAGCGGACGGTGACGGTGCTCGATGGCGATTGAGGGTCTTCCTCTGAGATGCCGTGGACGTGAACTTGGAAAGACTCGTCTTGTGGAGAGTAGGAAGCCTCGGAAAGGACGACGTGTAGTGGGGTTGTTGGCGGTGCGGGAACAGGAGACATGCTCTGCGAGCGTGAGGCGTGTGCAGAATGCGGCCAAGTGCGCTTTGGTGGGATCAAGTGAACAGGGACCAGGAGCGCAGGAATAAAAGAAACCAGCGGGCGGTGATGCTCATGACTGACGTATGCCAGACAAGTGGGGCGGTCACAATCAGCATGGTCTCGAAGAGGGGGGTGGGGAATCGGCGCGGATGTACGACTTAAAGCGAAAGGCACTCCATGGAGGGGCGTTTGCCAGCACAATTGCGAGAAACGCTAGGCATTGGGTGTGGCGCATTAACATGCCTGGAAGGGCCTTCTTCCCGCCTCGCTGTCGTTCTAGTTGTCACCGCACCATATCTCGCCAGAATTGCTCTGAAAAATAAACGCAAATCTATGCTATCTCAACACTGGTTTGCTGTGCTGTGCAGTGCCACTTCAGTTTAGCCGCTTTACAGATCCGTACGGCCAGAAACGTTCCACTTTTTTTTTTCATTTGCTTTTCCTTCCAACCAATAGGATTAAGAGCTGGTCCGGTTTGGACTTTTAGGCATGATCCCTATCCAATCAAAAGCACCAGACGAAAAAGGCGTTGAGATCTGCCTTTTCTCGCAAAAATGTACGGTACACGTATATTAGCTTAAATGGCTTGTCGGCGACCGAAATCTGCACACGCACAGTGTGCGTGTCCAGGTGTGCGTCGCACACCTGCACAGCCCACTTCTTACACGTGTGCAGTTGATGACCGTCGTGGTCTCTAATTCTTTCTTAGTATTTCCAATTCACTATATTTCCTAATTACCCAAGCGCCATCTTCGCGTCCGCCAATCATACTCCTGTGGACAGCATGCCCTAGCTCTAACATGGAGCACCGGCGGCGCCCGTGGGGCGACTTCCCAAAACGTCTGCCATTCTCCGCAACCAGGCTCTGATCGCCAACGCAACTCTTCACTCCGCCGCTCCGACAAGCCTACTACCTTCGACGCCGCTCTCCGCCTTGTACGTGCGTCCCGCCCCCACCTGCTAATCTGTTTCCTTTGCCCGAACTGGAATCTGATTCGCGAAAAATCCTGTCTCTTGTTCCCTACGTTTCGATTTCCCCTAACCACCATCGCGACTCTAGAAGGGTAGCGCCACTCACAGCACAATCACGCACCGTGCTTGATACCAATACCCTTCCGCCAAGATGCGCATGTCAGTATTGGGCGATGCCCTCAAAACGCTCGCGAACGCCGAAAAGCGCGGCAAGCGCCAGGTGCTCCTACGCCCGTCGTCCAAGGTGATCATCAAGTTTCTGCAGGTGATGCAGACCCACGGCTACATCGGCGAGTTCGAGGTCGTCGACGATCATCGCGCGGGCAAGATCGTCGTCAACCTTATCGGCCGCCTCAATAAGTGCGGCGTCATCTCGCCTCGCTTCGATGTTTCCGTTAACGAGATCGAGAAGTGGGTCACCAACTTGCTCCCGTCCCGTCAGTTTGGTTTCATCATGCTCACCACGTCCTACGGAATCATGGACCATGAGGAGGCCAGACGAAAGCACACTGGAGGCAAGATCCTTGGCTTCTTTTATTAGAAGCATACTCGGCTGGCACTGACTGCGTTGCATATTTCATTTCTTCGGCCTCCGAGTAGATAGAGCTTCACGGAAAGTAAATCGTGTCTGTTGTTGTCTGCCACCCATTGCTTCATGTTCGCTTTCGCAATCTACGTCGTACCAGTTCCGCACCATTTCGCGAAACATCTTTGTTGCTGGAAAGTTGTCATCTCGATAATCAAAAACACGCAATTTCGTTTTCAAAGCACAGTGCCTTGCGAGCTGACCGCACCGATCGACTCATCGGCATAGTTGACCGACCAGAACGATTCTCTAGCACAAAACTGCTCCTATTCGATGTCAGCACAAGAGGAATGGCGAAGAGCGGGGCCAACTATGAGCGTTCCCAGCAATGCCCTCTACTGGCACAACAGTCAAAGAGCCTGGATCACAAGTTGTAATGTCGTGACCTCTCTTCCACAATTGGATCTGACATTTCCATTGAGGGATAGAGCAAACGGTAATTTTACTACGATACATCTCGATCAGCTTGCGTATACGTTAACAAAGCCACAGAACTCAACACTAAACGTCTCTCCTGCGTCCTCTTCCAACTCTCAGGCCGCTCGTGGACTTTTGCGCCACAAACCACCACCACAGACTCTCCATCTAAAACTATGCCGTAACAAGCACGACCTGTGCATCTTTGTTTCCGTGTGATAGCATGTACCTGGCTGACTGCATCAGCATTAGCCGCTGTGGGCAGGGCATCGCCGACGCGACCTCGGTGGGGCAATTCGCTTTTTGTCCACTGGGCAACAGCCATTGTAAGTGAGCCATTCGTCGATACATTTTTTGTGGTACTTGTGCGAGCAAGGCAGCACGCGAAGTTCCTCGCCCTCTTCGACATCGCACATGCAAACGCAACACCTAATCTCCTTGTCGGCAGTGGTGGCCTTTTGCATCGGCAGAGAGTCAATCTGCGAAGTGTCGGCGCGGTTCTTGTCTCTCATGAGCTGTTCATCCAACCGAATCAAATTCTCGTAGTCCAGACGATCTCCCTGGAGGGCCCACTCGACCGTAGCCACGAAGGGAACAGTGTGATGACTAGCGAAGAAAGGAGATTGCGAACCCCTTCGACCGCGACCCCGACGCGATATAAAGGGATCATTCGAGCGGCGAGGCCTGCCGGCTGAGTCACTCGCGTGACCCTCGCGCAAAAAGTCGAAGCCCAAAGTACTACGGGTCTCGACCGACCGAGATCTTGTGCCCCGACGGCGGTTTCTGGCGGAATCTGTGGTTTCCAATAAGTAGCTCGCATTCCTAACCTCCCTGATTGCATGGCGGACGCCAGACTCCACAGAGTTGCGGGTTGAAGATGCACCCGGGAGTCTCGACTGGAGTTCAGAGGGACCAGCCGCCCCAAGCGATCGGTTGGTGTGAGAAAGCCCGCGAGCAGCAAGACCTCCATAACTGCGTTGAGGACGAAGGGCAGATTGCTGCATGGCCCGAACGGCGATGTGACGAGCGGCACGATGGCGATAATCGGCCGAACGAAGCGAAGCGCGAACACTGGCCGGGCTCGGGCCTGCCGCATTCGAATTCGATAGCGGCACAGTGGAGGACGCAGACTGGCTGGTATCCGAGATAGGTCTCTGTGGAGATTCTTCAAATGTGTGAATGGCATGATAGAAGGCCGGCAACCTCCTTTCGAATTGAAGATCGGATGAAGCTCCAGTCAGGGTGGTGGGAAGGTCGTAGGCGGTATCATGCCAGTCCGTCTCTGGCGGCCCCAGGGACGCAGTCATGGACGCAATCATGGGAGGGTCCGAGAGCTGGGAATTGGAGTTACTGAAAATATCCAATGCGGGAAAGAAGTCGAACTGGTTGGGAGATGGTGAGGCTCTTCTGGGGCGAGTGCGGGCGGTCAACGTCGGCGCAGCCTGGCGCGGGTTGGCCAAATTGACGGGGGGCATTTGCGCTCTCGTCGCAGAGTCATATTGACGAAGCGCAGGGCCGGGGCGGTGGCTCGGGATTCGCGGCATTGAGCGACGAGGGGAGACGGGGGGTAGTGCTGCTGGGCCCGCCGGGTGGGAGGATGGTGTCGGAACGGCATAGGAGTCGTGGGGTGAGGCAAGCGGGCGAAGGCGGGGGCCCGCGGCGGCCGTTGCGATGACATCGTCCGGCGCGATGAAGCTTCTGCGCGGCAGGGGCATAGGGCCTGTCCGTCTGGCAACGCGACGGCGGTGGGCGCGGTATCCGGCAATCGATGCGGTGGAGTCCTGGTAGAAGGTGGGGGTGCGGCGCGGCTGTGGGATGGATCGGGCGTCGTCGTCGTCGACGACAATGACGGGGGAGGTGATCTCCGGCGGGGAGAGCGGCGGCATTGGCGACGAAGCTCCCGAGTCGCGGCGACGGCGCTTCCGAGGGCTGTCCTCGATCAGAATGGTCTCAGGGAAGGGGTGGGCCGGCTGCTGCGGCGGGGTGTCGAGCAGGATGACGTCGGCCGCTTCGCGCGACGGGGCGCGGCGAGGCTCCGGGGTGACATGCGGCGACGCGGCGGGTGAGTTATCCAGCAGGACGACGCCGTCGAACGGCGACAAGGGCGACAATGAGGGGGCCGCGGGGAAGTGTGGTTGCAGTTGCGGTTGCGGTTGCGCGGCCGGACCCTCGAGCGGCCATGGGTGCCAAGGCATTTCTGTGCAAAGCGGGGGGTTGTTGTGTGTGTGTTTGGTAGAGAGAGAGGAGGGATGCGTGGGTGGCAGGGGGGAGGGGAAGGGGGAAGGTGGAGGGTGGGCGACAGGGGCTGTGGGGATGGGGGAGGCGTGAAGATGTGTTTGAGTTTTTATATGGGAGGGGGGGGCACGACACGTGCGGATTTGCGGTTTTTTTTTCTGCGGAGGCGGCAGGGAGGCGGGGGGGGGGGGGAAAAAAGGGGGGGGGGGGGGGGGGGCTTGGAAAGGGGGGGCCCCTTCCAGCCTTTTAGGGGGGCATTGCG